CAAGGTCCAATACTAATGAAATTAATATGGGACCACATGGGAAGCACCAGCTTTCAAATAAAAAAAATAATCATCAAAAAGTTCTGAGGTAACAAACATAAAAAAAATACATTCGAATTGAAAACCTCCTCCGTTTTTTAAGTCGGTTGAAAAGAAAATTTTATTAACGCGTTAGCTCAGTCTCCGGGCGCTCGTTATTTCGGTTATTATAATGCCAGGCATATTATAATGCTAGCAACAATAAAATAAGTGCTTGCAATTTTAATTGTTTACTCATCACATGCTCAGCGGTGAAAGAAAACATCGTGAGGAAACCTGCATATTTTCGACAATAACAAAAAAATATTCCGAAGATATGTGAAGTCCACCAATCCGCAGTGGGGCCGCGTGGCGGACTATGCCCTAATACCCTCTGTACAGCGGAGGCCTGCCCAGCCGTGGGATATTTACGGGCTGTTACTTTATTTTTTCTTACTATGGAAACAACGAGAACGCTTAGAAGTAACAACGGACACACCTTTAAGCACGTAACCCGTTGTATGTGCTGAAGCGGTTTCCAGAATTTAACGAACCATTATTTAAACTAGGCATACAAAGGCACTTAAGAGTCCAACGCTCGATTTTATCCGTATCTCAAGTTTCCTACTGTTTGATTTGATTGTTCACGAGCTTCGCTTTGGGATACGGGAGGCAATTTAGTTAGTTGTGTGTTTATTACCTTTGAGTGTAACCTTTTACAATTCAAATTGATTAATAATATCTTATGTTAATTGGAATTAATCAGTTATAAGGTATAACTAGTCAAATACTAATCTTTTACGATTCACACCCCTTTTATCGACAAAAAATTTAATTCTACAAATATTCCTTTAAATATAAAACATGTTTTGAAACCTGTTGAACAATCGTGAACTGCTTGTCTTTTCTTTCTTTTAACATATTTTATAACGAAGGATTGTCGACATTTAGTCATGTTTTTAAACGTAGCTTTAAAGAAATAAGAAGGGTAGTAAGCAAAAGGTTTTGTGTTCATCTCGGTTTGCTTAAAAATAAAGTAATGTAACAACTTTCCTCTAAAAGCTCTGGTAAAGTTTAATCCAACGAAGAGTGCATTTATTTAAACATTTTATTGCGGAGCACTCTACATTTCAGAAAATTTCCTAACTTCAGAGATTGCAAGTAGGCACTAGGATTCCAAAAATAGCACTGTCTGCAACTTGAAATGCAATGAACCAGCTAATCCCTTCGCTTAGCGTGTTTACTCTTCAATTTTATGTCACTTTACTCATTTATTAGTTCAATTATTTTATTGTTTGTTTGTTTATTAATAAGATAAAATACCTGTAATACCTGTTAAAATTTTACCCGCAAATGAACACACGCACACCCACACACACATAAAAGAAATTAACAAATTTTTGAAAGTCAAAGAAATTTCTTTATTCAATATAGGCTTGTTTTAGCTTAGAGAAAACGTCAATATTTTTTTAGCAAAAATATTTCAAAAAACTCACAAAAAGTTTAAAATAGTACTAAATCCAATGTAATCAAATCTTGAAAATCTTACCTTTTGGCGCTGGCAACACTGTATACCGGATATGACGTTATCTACTCGAGCCAAGGGACACATGGTCGCATGTAGCAGCGGTCACTTGGAATTCGGCTGCGTTCCCGGACGGTGATATAACCACTAGTGCTACTTGTCATTATATTAGTTGTTAATATTCAAGTTCAGTTATAGTTAAAATATTAGGATCAAGGTAAAAACGTTAGAACTCTTATAAACCTAGGTAATGCCTAGCCTACCTAACCTCTAAAAAATTTAACAATTTTTGGAGTCGATATAAAGGTATCTTATTTTTTGAAAAATATGATAAAACTACAAGTAAGTCTACTTCGCTATCTTTAATTTAAACCAATTTTCAATAGATGATATTATCAAACAGTATTTAGAAGTTTTTAAACAAAAGTTATTTTATGAAAACATGAACTTTATTTTAATTCAAAATGAACTTTATTTATCAATAACGGCGAATGAAAACCTTAAACATGAACTTTATTTCAATTCAAAATTTTTATCAATAACGGCGAATGAAAACCTTAAATTGACCTTGAATCACCTTTGAGATATTATAACATATACAGGTGAATTAAGAGAAAAGTTTACCTTTGTAAGTATATTTCTAACCAAATAGAGGAACTAAGTATTCTCAAAGTGAGTATAAATTAACCCTAACTTAACTCATTTCTGGATTAGTTATGATGGTAGAGACTTTGTATACGGTAGACGTAGTTAATAAGTAACATGAGACAGTCACAACATATTAGAATGAAATCATCTCATTGTCGCTCTATGTAGAAATATTAGGACTTACATCGTAGGCAACTCTCCGAGAGAACTTATCGCTGCAAAAGCGACAGTTAAGCACTTGCATCGTTAAGCTTAGTCGTCGGAACTACGGTCCCTATCTATCTATTTTAAGCGAACGGTTCACTTAAAAGGGTCAGGCTTTTATCATACGTTAAGTTAAGCAGTCGAGAAAATGGACCCTAAATTTAAGTCTCAGTTGAGACTGCATGTTTTCGCAGGTTTTCGCATCAAACTAAAGACTGTAAGTATTTACTTGTTTAGTTCTAGCGATGAAATAAAACCTCATTTGCCATAGTTACTGCAACTAAGGTTTTATTGCAATTAGATGTGTAATGAATTTCTATATTTTATAATACTACAAATATAACATTATTGAAAATAAGCGACAAAAATTAAGATACCTTTCGAAAAAGAGTAAGTCTGAGAAGAGTACACATGAAGTCAATTTGCATATGAATCTAATATTTACAAGATTAAATCTATCTAAAAAATTTGCATATGACTTTTTAATTAACTTAAATTAAATCTCTATATTTACGTATTATATTATTCATGTATTATTTATTTATATTCATTCAAACACATATAAAACGCCAAATCATCCAAAACTTGAAGCTATTCGAGTATACCGTTTACTGCTTGCGTCGTGTAACTTAACTATGTATAAAGTTTGTGCATTAATCAATTAGAACGTTGCGGAGATACGTAAGATATTCACATCTGGATGTGCTTAGCTTTCAAATAGTGATACTGCAGTACCACAGTGTATATACAAACACAAGGACAAGTTCCACTAGCGTATTATAACATTGTAACGTTACATTAAAATGGTGTACCATCAATTTTTTGTTATGTGTTTATATCCTTGGATTGGTTTCCTTTTCTTAGATTTAATAAAAATTGCGTTCACTTATCCATGAAATTAATTATTTATATGTAGCAGACCGACTAACGCCATCTGTTGCACATACTAAACGTGATTCGAAAATATGCAGGTTTCATCATGATGTTTTCCTTCACCGCTGAGCACGTGATAAGTCAGTGCTTTAAATTAACATGTTTTTGACATATTAAAATAAATTATAATTTCTCAGTCATAAATAGAAAATGTTTCACATATACTGGTATCTGTACACTGTGGCAGAAAGATGCGCTTTTCAAGGTAGAAAACATAGATGTGGGCACGAGTTTGAATTAAGTCCAGAATTCCTTCGCCAAATCAAAGTAGGGTAACTAAAGTCAGATAAATATCCGGAGCGACGGCTCTTATTTTAATTTAGTGTAGATCTTAAGCAAACTAAGATAAAAGTTTAGAACTGAATGTAACATAATTTTTAGACATTTGAAATAAAAATAATTTTAATAAATTAATTTTGAAATAATTATTCTGCGATTTGCAAAGTGGCATTTTCAGTCTTGTATTTTTTTACGTTCAATAAGAGCTTGAGCTTAAATTATTATTGAAAAAAGATATTTTGATTTTGAAGAAGAGATGGATTGGGGCTAATATATAAATACCACCGTACCGTACCATTCTCTATAGAAACGGCAAAAAGCTGTCTCTTTAATGGAAGCCCCACTTAAATGTTTTTCATTATATTTTTTAGCATTTGTTGTTATAGTGGCGACAGAAGGACATCATTTCAACTGTCTAACTATCACGGTTCATGAGATACAGCCTGGTGACAGACGAACAGGCAGACAGACGGCAGCCAACAGCATTTTACCTTAAGAGTACGGAACCATAAAAATTAAATATTTCACTCTTTCAATATTTCTATGAGCGATATGGAGATAACGTCATCAGAACGTAGAACTCAACTATTTGGCAATCGCTTCCAGACAGCGGAGTCTTAGTAATAGGATCCCGGTACGGGTGGGTACGGAACCCTAAAAATAATAAATTTAAAGTCGTGATAGCTCAGTGGCAGGGCACCCCACTTTCGAAGTTAATCACTGTCATTTCAAATCACGGTACCGGTTTTAAGTGCTGACTTATAATGCACTCAGCAGTGAAGGAAAAATTGTGAAGCTTGCAATTTTCGTAATAATAATAAAAATTAATTAGAACACAGGAGTCTCACGGTGGTATATGCCCTAATATCCTCTGTATAGAGGAGTCCTTTGTCCAGCAATGTTGCATACCTAGGCATGTTTACCATACTATATGACGGCCCGAATGGCGTGATGGGTAGTGTCTGCCTCATGCGCTATAGGGTGTGGGTTCGATCCCCACTACTCGAAAAATGTTGTGAGATGAAATAGTATTTTTCTAGTGTCGGGGTGTCTACATATGTATAATATTTTTTTATTCACAAAAGAAAAGTATGTTTAAGTATGTTTATCAGTTATCTAGTATCCATAGTATAAGCGTTGCTTAGTTTGGGTCTAGAGAACGTTGTGTAACAATGTGTATCTACTAAAATATAATATGTATAGCCTGGAGGAGTGAAAAATAATTCGTCGAAACGTATTACGAAATATTTCGTCTTCAATATATCGGTATCGTCGATCCTTCGTTCTTATTAAGTTTTGTGCTAACGTAGTGAATATTGCCAAAAAATCACTCGATTAGAAAAAAGGAGAATGGCCGCTAACTATGTGGACGCTCTAACTGCTTTGCTGCTTACCTGAAACCAATGAAAACACAATCAAACAATGACAATAAAACATTTTAAACTTACTTTAATTGTTTATTGTGGAAAATAATTTATCAAACGTTATATGATGTGTGCGCGTAAATTCTCATTTAACTGTAGGTTGTAATGTCATCAATCTTAGTCGTACATATGTGCAATTAATTTTTATTGCACATAATAAATCCCTCTCCCTCGTATGTGTCAAGGATAACAAACGTCCTCTGCTTATCACGTTTAACAAACGTCATTGGAAAAAGTATAAGGAAAGATATATGATGTAATCATAAAATGTGTATGTTATGTGATCAAATTTGTTATGAAATACTTTTATATTTCGTACACCTACGAATTGTAATCAATTTAAGGTAGAAGTAACAACAAGTAGGTTGGTAACAAATAGGTTAAATAAGTAAGACTAAGTTAGTACGGACGTAATTGGCGTCGTGAACCATGAAAAGAGTGTGAAAAATTGTGGAGGTCATTTCTTGAGGCCATTTTCTCCAGCTAATGAGGTAATCGTATAGAAATCTCTAAGGTCGAGAGCAAGCGAGGGCAAGTTTGGCGATAATTACACATAATACGACGAACCGATTATGAGTGACCAGATTGTTCTTTAAATATAAAAAAAGATTTCCGAGGGCCATACATTTGATCACGTACGGGCAAGTGTGATCTATAATAATTTTTGTGATTCTAGATGTTTCTCAGTGTGAAATTTTCGTATGTACATAACTAGATGATGTAATGTCATAACAGATTAAAGTTTTCTTTTATATTTTCATGTGAAAAGTTGGCAAACAAGTTGGCTGGTTCACCTGACGTTCAGTGGTGGTAAACGCCCATGGTCATCTACAACACATGAGCCAATTGTTAGAAAAAAGGGCCCAATTGCGTCACTCGCCAAACGAAATGCGACAGTGTAATGAACTTACACTTCACGCCGGTCTTCTGAGAGGTCGTGGTGCTTTCTCAAAAAAAATAAAGTAACAGCCTATATATGGCCCAATGCTTGGCAAACCCTCCTCTGTACAGAGGGTATTCGAGCATAGTCCTGCACGCGGCCCCACTGCGGATTGGCGGACTATGTGAAGTCGAATTCTTTCCTCACGATATTTTCCATCACCGCTGAGCACGTGATAACTTAGCACTTAAAATTAAAAATTTCATTGGTGCCGGCACCGGGGATCGAACAGGTTGATCGATTATATCTATATAGTATCGTTTCTCGCTCAAAGGTTAAGCGTAACTATTCAGCGAGGAAATGCAGCTAGCGTTCCTTTAGCAATATTAGATCAATAAAGAATTATCTTATCGAGTATATTGAATTAAAAGCAAGTGCCCGGACAATAAGCTATCAAGGCTGTTGCGTAGCTATAATTCATATTTATTTATCTATATAGTATCTTTAAGTAAAAATCTTTAAGTTAAAGTACCTCACGCAATCTTGAGCGCATTCTCGCAGACGGCAGTAGCTGCAGCTGCAGGCGGTGTAACAGGACCCCGGGTCTGACTCCTCCAGGCTTACGGAGTCGAACCTCTGCCCCAGACCTTCTCCGGAGCTCGGCACTGTGTGAGACCCGCGCCATCTGGAAGTGATTGGCAAATAGTTGAGTTCTACCTTCTGATGACGTTATATGGCTCATAGAAATATTGAAAGAGTGAAATATTGAAATATTGAATTTTTAGGGTTCCGTCTAGTAGGTAGGTAGGTGACAGACAGCGGAGCATTAGTAATAGGGTGTTTTACACCCTATTACTAATGCTCCGCTGTCTGTCTCTCTGTCCTTCTGTCACCAGGCTGTATCTCATGAACCGTGATAGTTAGTTGAAATTTTTACAGGTGATGTATTTCTGTTGCCGCTATAACTACAGATACTAAAAAACAGTAAAATATATTTAATCATGTCTGTTGTACGGGAGCCCCATCCCGTATAACAGACATGATTATCTATAAAAACAGAGACAAGTTTTTATAGACAATGATACGAAAACCTTCGCGCACGAGTCTTACCCACACTTGGCCGTTTTTTTAAATTTTTAGTGATAGTCCCAGAACTTAAGATGACTTAAAAATATGTATAAAACTGGCGCAAATATTTTTGTCACTGCTCAAGACCAAAGGCGACACACTCTAGTATTCAAATATTCATAGTAAAATTTCATTTTGATAAAGTGTGATTGCAGTTAAGGGATCGCATTAGATAAAGCCATTGTTAACAATTAAATAAAAAAATAACGCTGATATTTTCGCGCAGTGAGGCGCTAGATATAAATTATTTATTTACTAAATAATTTATATTTCTTTTGTTAAAGAATTTTTTTCTTGATTTCAAAATTAAATATATTTGTAAAATAGGACTAATTATAAAAAAGACTATCCATAGACCCTATAAAATGTTTGTGACGTCGAGAATTAAAGTCTAAATGAAACGTGAAAAACATCCATAAATTAGTTTTATTTAACATTTGTTTCAAACGACACATTTGTGGACAAGTGTGCATGGACAAAAATAGATTTGTTGAGAGGTTAATTCAAGGTAGATATCTACTCCAAAATAGATGTTAAGTATATCTAATTCTTTCAATTAAAAAAGTATGCAGGCTAAGAGAGTAATTTGAAGAATGACTACACAGTAGAGGTGGAACGGAAAGCGGAAGTGGTTTCGAGGCAGGCATCGTAAATTCCATTAAGTTAAGACACTTAAATAAAATTAAATCAATTTCTTAAATTGGACTGTTTTAGATAAATGGAACTGAATATAATGTAAAAAGCTATATGTAAAAGTTCGTTCTAAATTTCAACAAAAGCCATCTATTCCATATTGAATTCAATTATTCACTAATAATATTAGTGCGTTAGTAAAAACTAATATTAATATTATCTTTTTGGATCTCTATTTGGTCGTCGCAAATTATAAAATAAATTGAACATTAAATACACTTGCCTTGAGCTTTTCGAATCGACGTGTTCAACAACGACGTTCCAAGTTCTGTGTATCAAGTAAAGCAAGAACAGAACTCTCGAAGATTCCGCTTGGGGCGGTAGCTCCCTCTTCCCAGACCATTTCCGGCTGGTAGCGCTGCTCAGTCCGCTGCCCATGCTTCCGGGATGTTTAAATTTCGAATCACTTTGTCATTTCTATTGTGGCGACGGCGAGCGATGGACGTGTACTGTAACAGGAAATTGTCATTCCTTTGAGACATTTCAATAAAATATGTATTTACACTCTAAATTAACTTTTTATTTTACAATTCAAGGAGTCGGTCTACTCAGACTCATTTGAGTTATCTTCGAAAAATATTGAACGCTAGTAAAATATTTTTAATAAATAATAATGCATTGCGTAAAATTCCTGAACATTTTAAATAACAACCCAAATGTTTGTTATACAAATAGGAATCGTATTTGTAAATTAATGATAAAAGTTAAAGATTACTTAAGAATACAAAGCTAATAAATTAAGTTATCCTAGATTAATTTCAAAGAATCATTTAAAATACACCTAATTGAATGAGTATTATAAATAAACTAAAAGAGAGAGTCCCGATAATGTGCATATACAAAACATAGTATGATTCAGTTACAAGTCAATCTTCAAAAACTTTATCCTACATTGAACTTTTTTATTGAAGGTTCGAAGAAAAACTTTTTTCTATTTAGACGTTTGAAGGAAAACAGTCGAAAGGTCGTGGAAAACTTTAGTATGGGGCAATGGCCAAACCATGTTCAGAAACTAGATACAGGGCTATTTAAAAAAATTTATCTTATTGTCATTATAACACGAATTAGCCCAGTAATGGTCATCGTCGTTAAAATCTAGGAATGAAAGCGCATCGATTTTCTAGTATGCATTAAACATTATATACGTAGTATCTCGGACTTGATGAATTTATTGATTAATTGACAAGCGAGAGCGATAAAAAACATTGATAATTTTAAACTTGGACGTTGTAGAAATTTAAATTGTTTATAGTGCTAATCTTTGCACTTAAGATTCTAACTTTAACTTTTTCTACATATTTTAATTGGACGTTGTAAATGAAAACTCACGCCGATGATTTATTACTTTTATTATGGAGAAAGTTTTGGTATCCAGCTGCTATGGAAATATTCACGAGTTGGTGAACTCGTTCTGAATGTGAACGATTTCAATTTTGTCTGTTAATTGTGATTTTTTTATTGCTAATATTGTTGTAATTAATAAATAGATCATGAATGGGACCCTATTACTTAGACTGTCTGTCTGTATGTCTGTCTGTCCATCTATCACCAGGCTTGTATCTTATGAACCTTCATAAATTTTCATAGATGAGGCACATAGCTCGAAGAACCGATGGCCGTTGGGGCAAAAAGGTTCTCGAGTGGAGGCCACGTGACGGCAAACGCAGCGTAGGAAGGCCTCCCACAAGGTGGACGGACGACCTAGCCAAGATCGCAGGGACGCGTTGGATGCAGGCCGCTAACGACCGGTCGAAGTGGAAGTCAATGGGGGAGGCCTATGTTCAGCAGTGGACGTCCTGCGGCTGATATGATGATGATGATGATGATGATGATGATGTACACTTCTGTTGCCGCTGTAACAAAAAATACTAAAAAACATAATAAAAAAATATTTGAGTGGGATGTCTGTTGTATGGGAGCCCCATACAACAGACATTCCACCTTCGTGCGCGAGTCCGACTCGCACTTTGCCGTTATGTTTTTTTGTGACCGCGATTTTTGTGATAACCGTCACCCATTTGCTACACAAATAGGGTTGCAAATGCGTCGACACTTCTAATAAAGTAGGCTCCGGCTGCCTTAATCACCAGACGAAACGCATAAGTATAACACATAAACTTCACGGCGGTCTTTTCAGAGGTCTGGTATTAATCCGGACGGACCTGCCCATTCGTGCAACAGCGAAGACTGTTGCGCGGCCCTAACACAGTTAGACCTTTTGTTTCTTTGTACCTTCGGCTTTGTACACAAGTTTAGATATAGCGATTGTCGGGTGTAAGAAGTTAAGTAATCAAAACTAGCAAATAAAACATGATGCAAATGAAACATCTACCGAGAAATCATCAGGTGTACTATGTGTGGTTTTCATTATTTACAAAGCATATACTAAAATGATAATGTTTTTATATGTTTAATTTTTAGTACAAAATTATGCTTTTCAAGTTAATTGTTCATTCATCAAAATGAAAGAAATATAAAACATTAAGTTACGAAAAGGACTCAAGAAAAATGACATCCTGAAGTGTCATTTCACTATGGTACTAATTGCCCCATCTATCGACGCGGCGCAATCTCATTCTATCGAAAATTTATTGCTCATTGTGCCGTTTAAATTTACAGCTCGAACACGCTGCAAATAGCGGGCCAGTGTGTTCCTTCGTGAAATTTATGATTACAATTGTAATTTAGAATTAATAGCACGGGCTTTTGATTTGTTTGTATCGTTAAATATTATGGTTGTAATTTGCTGTCGTTTCATTTGTAATAATCAGCGGTTTTGGTAGCTTTGCAACGATACGAATAACGGGCTTAGTAATGCTCAATGATTGAACTAAAGTTATATCCTCGGAAATGCAGCGGTTTGGTAGAGCGTATGGGAATAAGTAGGTTACAAATAATATATAACTTAAATAATGATTCGCTGAAATTACATGTATGTTTGTGTATATTTCAATATTTTTCAGATATATCTACAAATCTAGTTTTGACTAGGATTAAGCTTTTTTAATTTTATGGTAATATTTATTTCAAACCAGCTGACCCGGCAAACGTTGTTTTTGAATCTGAATATATAAAAAAAGAAGTTTCGGAACGCACGCATATAATTTTTGACAGGTAGAAACAGTTCGTCTGGGAAAATAAAATTATTGCTATTTTATCCATAATTTCTCATCGCTTAAACCTTCCTTGGACTACGACAAATACTGAAAACAAAAATTAGCCAAATCGGTCCAGCTGTTTTTGAGTTTTAGCGCAACTAACGAACAGCAATTCATTTATATTATATATGGATGATCTAATGCAACCAGCGTGATAACATGAAAGAAAGAACACAATAATATAAAATAGACAGTTGAAAAAATTACAAAAAAAACATGTACAAAGGCGAGCTTAACCCTAAAGAGAGTTTACTTCCAGCAGACCCTTGGAAACAGAAAACCATAATAATGTTAGGGAACGAGGTGTGGGTGTGTACGTTGTTAGAATTTTTTCTAAAGTAACCATAACAATGTATAAATAAAATAATAAATACAAGTACATACGTACAATGTAAATAAATACAAACATTTGTTGTCAAATAGATAAAGTAGATAAACATTGGTAAGTTTGTGCAAAAAAAGACTGTCAAAGTCTAAAAATTATTTTTTCTAAAGCCAATATACAAGTTCTATAAAAATTATTAGACACAAACTTTCGACTAACATCATGCAATCAGTACTTTGTCACCACATTTAAATGTTTTAATGGTTTATTTGCCTTTTCCTCACATTACGCCCAGGCAGTAATAATCAAGGAAATGATTTGCAACTAATCTACGATTGAATAACGGGTTCTTGTTGTTTTTCCTTCTGGAGTCTTATATAATGTTTATTCAAGAAGCCTGTCATCCCGTTATCGGCAAAGTGCCTTTTGCAAATTACACTTTTTGCCACAGTATAATTAATGCGCTCTCGGAATCAAAATAGAGAGTAGTCTTTCATCAACTTCAGCAGTCTTGTCTTGCTCCAAAATGAGCACCTTCAATGCATTACAATTACGTACATCGGAAAAAAAACTAAAAAAAACAAAAACAATTCTTACATAAGTACATATTACATCGCTTTAAAAAAAATAAACCTGTTATGTGCACGTGTTACATATTAAAAAAAGAAACAGAACTACTTTATTAAGATAGTGCTTTAACCTGATCATGGGAGATGCACTTGCCTGACTAATGACCGATGTAAGACTTATTTATGTAATAATTAATACTTCTGTGGTTACCACCCTCTCGGACGTTTTGCCTCTGAATTCCTACTGGCGCTATAGTTCTTCCTGAGCGGCAATAACTTAATATCCAGCTGTTACTTCGTTTTACCGCTTATTAAATACAGGTGTTTAGGTGCAAAGTAATTTGACCAGTAATGTTTATCATATTCGATTTCGTTGCATCTGGAATACAATATAGATAGAATTTATGATAAGACATATAATAAGCCGCCGTGTGACTTAATATTGGACGAAATAGTAGGGATATTTATGCCACACCGACTGAACGCTGTACTCAAAAGAAGGAACGGGAAAGTTTTTGTTCATTTATCTACAAAAATTGATATGTAAGTTTTGTTACGCCTTTAGAAATATTGACGAGTTGGTGAACTCATGTAAACGTTTTCAATTGTGTCAGTTAATTGTAATTTTTTTATTGCTAATATTTTAAATTAATAAAGAGATCATGAATGTTTTTTTAATTAAAAAAGAGTTCCGTACCCAAAGGGTAAAACGGGAACCTGTTACTAGAACTCCGCTATCTGTCTGCCTGTCTGTTTGTCTGTGTGTCCATTTGTCACCAGGTAATATTTCATGAACCGTGATAGTTAGACATTTAACATTTTCACAGACGATGTATTTCTGTTGCCGCTATTACAAGAAATACTAAAAAATAGAATAAAAATATTTAAGCGGGGCTCTAATTCCAAAATACAATATACATGATTTTTTCCCCGTTATTGTAGATAATGGTACGGAACACTTCGTGCGCGAGTCCGACTCGCAATTGGCCCGTTTTTTAACATACTCATTCAATTTTCCAGCATGTCCGATGTAAGCCCGCGTCATTTAACTAACTGCGCTGCGTCTATCTTAGCGCAGAAATGAAGACAAGTTCTCAGCCGTAATTCTCCCCGACGCGCGACGGCGTTGGCGCGTGAATTGATGACGGGGAATTTATAAAAGTGAGCGCGGGCGGCCGTGGCAGATGAATTAAATTCTAATGCTCGACAAAGGATGGTCACACGATTATTAGAAATGTATAAATAAACAATGAGTCTTTTTACCTCCTAAACGGAAATAAATGTCAAATTTATGCCGACTCCATGCTTTTCGGTTTTGTATTTAAT